AGGAAACTGACAGGGATCCAATACGCAGAGTGCGCACAGAAGGAGGTACGTATACCGGACCTTAGAATGGCCGGACTAACGTAAGGACAAGCAAGAATAGTCAAAAGGTAAGCCGAGGTCAAGGGAGCCGGAGGACAGGTAAGCGAGATACAAGCCGAGTCAAAGGAGAGGAGAGGACAACAGGACAAAAGACAAGCAAGGGTCAAAACCGGAAACACAAGATAAAGAACGCGCTGAGTGACTAGCAAGCTAGAACCACGACAGGGCAATGAGCAGTAGTAAAGGTTTCCTTTAAATACCCTGTACCTAAATAGAGACCACGCCCCCAAAAGGTCCGGAATAGCGGTTCCCGGCACTTTATGCAAATGCCGACGTCATGACGTCGACGCTAGCCGTCGCGTCATAAAAGGGGGAGGAGCTAGCGCGGCCGGCGCGAAAACGGCCGGAATATGCCGAAATGCTAGGGGAAGGGAGCCCCTAAGCAGAGAGGATGTCCTCCCTGGATACATCACCAACAGGTACCCTGACAGCCTACTCCATTTATATTACAATTATAATTGTTACATGTGAAGTGTTTACATCTGAAATCAACTTTTCTTGTAATCTGGTGTACAAAGTGCTATTTGCTTGGCTCAATGCAACCCTCCTGGAAAAGGTGCATGTTAATTCAGGATCCTGTGTTATTATTAATGTTTATTGTATATGTAACACGTCAGATATGGCTTAATATCAAGCAGGATAAATAATATTTCTTGTAGACAATCATTAAGAAGCCACGATATGTTACTACATGGTTTTAATTAAAACGTTTTGATAACAAGCTGGATAATGCAGGTAAAAGTAACACATTACTGAGCCCATAATGCAAACATTAAATTAAAGTAACAATATAATTTTAGAAATAAAATAAGAAATCATATCTACTGCACATGCACGACACCAATCAGCTTCTTCTCATACAGATGTATTGGCTCAATAAATCTTTATGAGGGGCTTTTGGCATTATCATGAAAAGTGTCAAGACACTGAATATCAGTCGAGCAAATTTCTGAGTGACAGCCCTTAGAGGTGTTGTGATGGAATTTCGGTGAAATGTAAATTTAGTAGGCCGAGATTCCCACGTGGCATATGTAAGTACACGTGTATGTTGTATCAGTTAGCTAGTTACACGTAGCTAAGATACTGTCATCAATGTACTGAGCATGTGCAGGAATGCAGGAACTGAAATCACACTCCTTTCTCCTTTGTTTCGGATGAGCCATGTGGTCTGCCCATATAAGGAAATCCAGATCCTGTCCACCAATTGGTTAAGGGTATGTGCGGGTGGAGCTATTAATGGGAGGAGTTATAGTTCTAGAAAAATCATGTACTCCATGTGTTCACCCCTCAGACCTGTTTTGGAATGTTAGTTCATCTGAGACCTGATCGGTATGTTAATAAAGACCTTTTACTTCCTGAAGACCTGCCTCCATCTCTCTGTGTCTGGCTTCTGCAAGTTTTCTCGGTTACAGTGTCCTTAGGGAAAAGGCAGTGTGCATAGCTATTTATTTTTTATGCATAGCTGACTGAGACTGCAGGGAGAGCCTCTTTGCTCCAGAACCACTACATTAAACGTGTGGTGGTTCTGTTTACTAACTATAACACTACAAATCACTCTGCTTTTAGATACTTCTAGAGACCTCAACTTATTATTCATATACAATCCTGCTATTGCCAGTTGTTTTTTTAAACATTCTGCTTTACTTTTAGAGTTTTCCTGCTTTTGCTTTGAAAAGGGAGCTTTCATAAATACACTTTAATCTCCTAAATTACTAGGTGAGTATAACCTCCGATGTACACTGTTCTTAATGTTACATGAACCACTTGTATATGACTCTTGTTATGTTTCCCCCACCAATGGTAAGGCATGAAGTCAAACCAGACCCTCAGGTTCTAGTACCTGTTTATTGATTTTAAATAAAATTGTGATCAACAGGCGAATTGCAATCACAGAAAGTCTTACCAGGAGGACATTCTCATGGAATTATCTATGGTTAAATGATTACATAAGATAACAAAACAAATACTTCTTATTGGCTAAACATTTGTGAAATTTCAAACTAAATGCTCACATTTATAAACATAAGCTGCGTATCTCATATCTGACATGATAACAATCAATGATGGACAGGTCCGACAATTGAATCAATTTAACCAAAAAAACCTCCTATCCCAGTTATCTTTAGACACACACCTCTTCAGACTCTCTTTGCGGTTACATTCTACCTACAAGTAGAACTAAAGAATAAATGTACAGTAGGGCAAAGTTCAGCAATTCATATAAATGATATATAAAGCATATCTGCTGAATCTTGCAACCAGGTTTCTCTCCATTCAGGTACATTTGATTCAGTCAAATATATTCAAACTTGTACACTATGTATTCAAACCCTTACAAACACACAGTCACATTCTCCCTGTCCCCCATTAGGTTTCTTCTTTTTAAGCATTAGACTTTTTATCTTTTCCCAACATCATCTTGCACCATGAACAAAGTTCTTATTACATTTCCAAAGTCCAGTGGTTATCAGTGAAAAACAAGCATCTTCTGTAAAACAAGCATCTTTGTAAAACAGCAAATAAACTCCTTGATGAAATGGTTCACTGGGACAAAATGGTCAATAGGCCTACATACTCCATATGCGCCTTGCTCCAGCTAAATGATCACACTACTAGGCAAATGCTGTTAAAGGAGCACTTTAGTGTTAGAAATAAATATCTGTATTCGTAACACTACAGACCTAATGACATAGCGGCCAGCACTGATGGCACCATAACAACTTCATAAGATGATGTAGTTAAAGTGCCTGCAGTGTTCCTTTAATTTACTTTCTGAGATTTCATGCTCTAAAGCTTTTGCTCAGTATATACCTGGATTAAATGATAAATCTTTGCAAGCAGAATAAGAACTATGTTCCTGAATTTACTTCTCTTGTATATAGACCTATCAACTACTTTATTCTAAACTGGTCATTCAGGAACCAGCACTTGTGTTTGCAATTATAGTTTGTTTTTTTGGCTAACAGACAATATATGCCATCATTATTAGAATTTCCAATTTCTAATTTTTACCTTCAGCGTCTTATAAGGCTACATAGCTGATTTCACTTATGATCTTTATCTTTAAAAAGACAAATGAAGCCTGACCCTAATGTTCAAAGGGAACTGTCGCCCCCAAAGGATTGTCAATATTGTGTTTACACAATCCCTGTATTTAGCAAATATTTATATGCAAGGTCTGTAAATCTACGCATTATTCCTGATTGTTTTCATGTTATTGGGCAAATATAGCAATATAGAGTGAATTACATTTTTAAAGGAGAAAATAAAAATCTAAACATGTTAATAGCAGTCATAGAATTCAAACTTGTTATACAAAAGTATATATTTGTAGAAAGTAGACTTCTAAAGTATCTACTTACAAGCATTTACTACTTTAATTTAACAGTGTTATAAGCAACTCGCCCCAAATCTGATGGTTACAATGATGTTTTTGTGTTTTTCACACACATGTTCCATTTTTGTGGGGAATTATACAGGCTGTGTTTTCGACTGCTGCACAGACCCCATATGTGTAGTCTGCTAATTCCCCCACAGTATAGCTTCCATGGGGAATTTTACCATATTTTTGAGCAAGTTAGGGTTCAAACTACAGAAATGCTTGTTTTAGTTTTAAATTTCCATTTTTCACTGAACCATTCATTGCCCCCACTGCAATTTACTCATAATTAGCCTAATTACAATAACGCTGCTTTTTTCAGATTGGCTATTTACAGAAAATGTTGACTATTAATTCACTTTTTAATATCTAAAATTAATACTTTGTGGTGAAGAGCCGCTCTAGTTTTTTTGTGTGTGAGATTTTCATATTTATGCATAACATGTTGTACAAGTTATCTTTAGTACAATTTTGTTAACAAAAGGAAAGGGTTGACAAGTCATTCATGGTTCATCTTGAGATACATTGCGGTAGCCGTCAGCTTTGGCTTGTGCAGCTAGGGGTGGGCAGGGCCGGACTGGGAAAATTCGGTCCAGGCATTTTTTTTTTTAAATTCTTTATTTTTGTAGTGCACGTATATATTACAGGTATGCTTGAGGTACCCCGAAGGCAATCCTCAGGCTTGTCCCACGCGAGCATGCGGGGTGTATTCTTAACTGGCACAATTTTTTATATTATCAGGCTTAAGAAACATAGCATTAAAGTATCGAGTTACATGTAGGTATACATGGTATGCAATACAATAGTTTAGGGTTTCGTTTACGTGGGTTAGCAAGGTGCACATGTCAGGAAAGGGTAAACAGAGGAGTGACATAGAGACAAAGCATGACATGTGCAATCATTGTATGAACACGGCTTTACAACATAGTATATGCTAGGTTGATTCCATCCTATCTCTTGTCTGGCTAGGCAGGGAATAAGTGGTTGCATATTACGCTAGGCTTAAACCAGAAATAAGCCTACAGGGAACATATAACAGGCATTTGTGAATATACTACTGATGTTTATAGATTTAAGGTGTTCTAAACAAAGGAAAGAAAAATAATAGTGAATGCAATCAAAGTGATAACATGTTACCAAGGTAAAGCTGGCTGATACCCTGGCTACCTTTGGTTTGGTATGATTCTACACAGGACCCTTAGCCTATGCCGCTTAGAGTCCAAGTTTGGTGAGGTAGCTTGGTGCTGGGTTCTGCCTTCCCTTCTTGCTCCTTCCGTGTGCGGCGCCGAACTAGGAAAGATGGAGACCTCCATGGGCCGACGTTCTTGTGTGCCAGGCAGCTTAAGGGGACTACCTCTGGGTCCTGTTGCTCCTGTTGAGGGAGTCTGGATCTCCACGGTCGAGGTGGGTAGTAGCGTCCATGCTGCTGGGCTTGTCGGGAGAGCGATGCCTGCCGCTGTGGCTTCTTGCGCTTTCTCACTTTGTTAGTCGTGCGGGGGGGGGGGTGTGATTGTGTACATGCTTGCCGCTTCGTGTAGTAGGATGACCCCCAGGACCCGCTTGCTTTTCAGCAGGCGTATAGAGTGACTCTCTGGGTTGCTCTCCTTCAGGAGATTCATTTGGTGTCGCTTCAATAAGAGCCTCAAATTTGGCCCAGAAATCAGCAAAGGTCGCATCCAGTCGCTCCAGCACATAATCAGCCGCACCTCCTCGTGTCTCCATGGGCTGATTCAGACCCGGCTGGTGGAGCAGAGACCTGGCCGCCATCTTAGGTGAGTCAGCCGTGATCGGGCGTCGTGCTAAGATAGCTGTGTAGGGTCGACAGAGGTGCCAGCCAGTGGATACCGGGATAACCCCCACCGGTCCAGGGGGGGGGGGAGAAGATAGCTTTGTTCACCGGGACCACGTAGTAAACGAAGGAGCTCAGACAGCGGCCGTCTCTCCAGAGCTCAGGCTTGTGTAGGCCGCTGGCCACTACCAGGACGTACCGGTTCCAGACAGGTTCGCAACAAGTATCCTCCGGTGCACCGAAGACCCAGTGGCAATATGAGTGCTTATTGTGGTCTCGTTGATGGGTGGCCCGGGTGTAAATCGTGATTTATTGGGGCCAGATGCAGGAGCTCTTGCAGAGCACGTCTGGCTTCCTTGGCAGTCAAGCTCCACCCCGGTCCAGGCATTTTTTAATTACAGCAGCCCACTAAAAAGGGGGCAGGGCCAGATAGGGTGTGTTTTGTCATCACCAATGACAAGCACGCGCCATCACAAAGTGAGCATGTTGATTCAATGCTCTTCCAGGGTAGACCATGCGCAGAGCTCTGCTGAAGAGATCTGGCATGAGAAAAAGGCCCTGTATTTGTTCTGCACAGCGCAAGCAAATTCAATAACATGCTTCCACTGTGTTTGCTTGAAATTTGTCTCTGGTGTCTCCATAGTTGGGATACCAGGAGACAAAAATGCTAGGAAAGCATATTGTGCAGTGTGTGTGAGGGTGCTGTGTGTGTGTGTAAGGGGTGTAGTGTGTGTGCGAGAGGGGTGCAGTGTGTGTGTGAGGGGTGTAGTGTGTGTGAGTGATGGGTGCTGTGTTTGCATGAGGGTGCTATGTGGGTAAGGGTGCTGTGTGTGAGTGGGTGCTGTGTTTGCGTGAGGGTGCTATGTGCGTGTGAGGAAGCTGTGTGTGTCAGGGGTGCAATGTGTGTGTGTGTGAGGGTGCTGTGAGTATCAGGGGTGCAGTGTGTGTGAGTGAGGGTGCTGTGGGTGTCAGGGGTGCAGTGTGTGTGTGTGTATGTCTGTGCTAGTGAGGGTGCTGTGAGTGTCAGGGGTGCAGTGTGTGTGTGCTGTGCGTGTCAGGGATGCAGTGTGTGTGTGTGTGTGTGTGAGGGTGCTGTAAGTGTTAGGAGTGCAGTGTGTGTGTGCTGTGAGTGTCAGGGGTGCAGTGTGCGTGTGAGTGAGGGTGCTGCGAGTTTTGCAGTGTGGTGCAGTGTGTGTGTGTGTGTGTGTGTGTGTGTGAGGTGCTGTAGTGTTAGGGTGCAGTGTGTGTGTGCTGTGAGTGTCAGGGGTGCAGTGTGTGTGTGAGTGAGGGTGCTGTGAGTGTTAGAGGTGCAGTGTGTGTGTGTGTGCTGTGAGTGTCTTGAGTGCAGTGTCTGTGTGTGTGCTGTGAGTGTCAGGGGTGCAATGTGTGTGTGAGTGAGGGTGGTTGAGTGTAAGGGGTGCAGTGTGTGTGAGTGAGGGTGCTGTGAATGACAGGGGTGCAGTGTGTGTGTGTGGGTGGGTGCTGTGAGTGACAGGGGTGCAGTGTGTGTGTTTGTGTGAGTGAGGGTGCTGTGAGTGACAGGGGTGCAGTGTGTGTGTTTGTTCGAGTGAGGGTGCTGTGAGTGTCAGGGGTGCAGTGTGTGTGAGTGTGTTAGTGAGGGTGCTGTGAGTGACAGGGGTGCAGTGTGTGTGAGTGTGTGAGTGAGGGTGCTGTGAGTGTCAGGGGTGCGGTGTGTGAGGGTGAGTGGGGGTGCAGTGTGTGTGAGTGTGAGTGAGGGTGCTGTGAGTGTCAGGGGTGCAGTGTGTGTGAGTGTGTGAGTGAGGGTGCTGTGAGTTACAGGGGTGCAGTGTGTGTGAGTGTGTGAGTGAGGGTGCTATGAGTGTCAGGGGTGCAGTGTGTGTGAGTGTGTGAGTGAGGGTGCTGTGAGTGACAGGGGTGCAGTGTGTGTGAGTGTGTGAGTGAGAGTGCTGTGAGTAACAGGGGTGCAGTGTGTGTGAGTGTGTGAGTGAGGGTGCTGTGAGTGCCAGGGGTGCAGGGTGTCTGTGAGCAAGTGAGGCTTCTGTGACTTGGGTGATCATTTCCCCCCTCCCTGCTTACCTTTAGCCTGGGAGAGGGGATCCTGCTGCTGCTGCCGCCATCCATCCCTGATGGTCCTGGTGGTGCGTGAACTCTAGCCTGTGAGTGAATCTCGCGAGAGGAACTCGGCGGAGCTGCAAGTTAGAGCTCCGCTGGGTTCCTCTCCTGGCTGTCTCCCTCACTCTCTCCCCGCTGGCGGCCGGAACATATTGCTTGTGGGCATGTGAGGGAGATCTTTGATCTCCCCACTGACCCGCCGTGGACTACTGCAGGGCAGGCGCTTGGATAGTGCCGACCCTGCAAAGACCGGCAGGGGAGATCCTGTGATATCCCTGCCGGCCTCGGTCCCTGGCCACTGCGGCCCACCGGGCATTTGCCCGGTGGGCCTGATGGCCAGTCCGGGCCTGGGGGTGGGGAAAGAAACATCTCAACAGGAGAATTTAACAAAAACAGAGTAACATCTAGTAGTGTGGAAAAGCCCCTCTAGTTTTATGCTAAATAAAGTTGCTTTCTTCATTATGTTATAATGCAAATATGTACAGTTTGGAAAAAATAGTCCTATTTATCTACATACTTTGCTAAAATAAAACGTGGTATGGTGTATTCTTCCCTTTTTTTTCTATGCCAATAAAATCTGATTTTTTTTAGAAGATGTTAGAGGTATGTAAAATCTCATTGAGGATTATTTTAGCAATCTGTAGAGCAAATTAAAAGAAGACGTGGAAAAGCAATTGGCAGATGTAAAGCAAAATTAAAAGAGTTTCTAAACATATGCCTTTTCTCAATGGAAAACACAGCGCAAGTAATGCACCAGCGATGTTTACAAATTATCCCAATGTTACATCATGTCCATACTTGAGTTGTCAAAACATTTTAACTTAATCGGTCATGTTCGCTAAGACACCATCCAGACACCTTATGGTCCTGTTCAATTAAGTCAGCTGTAAAAAGGCCAAATTTACTAACCAGTGTTTTCTCATAATGCATCACACATATGAACATATGCTAAAGAGTCAATGAAATAGATTGTAAATTGATTTTTTTTTTTATTAACATCTAATTCTGTTATGATAGGAAGATTCCTGTCTGAGTTGACAAAGAGGCTGATTATTAAATAATAATAGCAATACAAACAATTTATTTCTTAAATTATAAAATTATTGTTTTTAAATGAAAGTGTAGATGTTATATTTGAGCAAAATGTTAATTTTCATGGCACATTGTAATTACAAATGTAAGTCCAAATAGCAGAGCCGATAAACTTCTTTTCAATTTCTTAATCTTTATAAAGTTTTTCTTTAAAAAAAAGTTGTTTTATACAAAGACAACATTTAGTATGAGGTTAAAATATGTATATAAATTAAATGTATATGAGTCATGTTGTCAAATACAATACATAAATAGATACAAAACATATTATTCCACATTCATCCACCATTCAACCTGACGCGATAGGAGCAGCATTATATTACTAAGAGCAACCGTCTAAATATATAGCAGTTACCTTTCAGTTTCTATCTTTAACTAATAAAGAATATTTTATATTGTAGAGTGTTTACATTTTTTTTGGGGGGGTGGGGAAGAGGACTCTCAGTTTAACCAGATCTTTGTGTAAGTATTTAATTAGTTATTCATTACAAAATATCTCTTTTTCCATAGTATATTGATCATTTATATGATTTATTGTTTACCACCAAATTGGTTGTCCTTGTTGTTTCTAATTTCTGGCTTTACAGGTTTTTTTAAGAGCAAGTTGTATATGAACCAGTGATTGCAATTGTGATTTACCCCATTTGGGCAAGACTTTATAAAAGAGGAGAAGCTAGGGGGTCAAACAGATATGCTCTCTGAATAATGTTTTTAAAAGGAGACACAATTTGTATTTTTTAGGTTGTCCTACTCTACTTTCCCACCAAATATAGTAGAAGGTGCATCTACTGTTATTACATTTCCAGCAGTGATCAGAATGTGATTTGTTGATCTTATGAAGTTTGGATGGAAACATATGCCATCTATATAATATTTTACAATGAAATTATAACATATTTATACAATGTATACTTTGTCTTACTAATTTTATACCCCAGAATAAGACAAAAAGATGCAGACTTAAGGATCAATGACAACTTGACTCCAAAGTCCGCAACACAGAAGGACTATGTGGGTAGTAGAGGTCATAAACCCCAAATTAATTATAGAGAAAAAAGAACCCTAGCGGACTAGAAGAGTAAAGGGCAAACTGCCGTTCCTCTAATAACCCACCCAGGAGTATCCACAACAGTAAGGGCGACTCAAGGGGCACACTATATAAAATCAAACAATCTTTATTAGATAATATTTTAATTTCTAACACTCTAAGATCCTTTGCCTTCTAAGGGTTAATTCAATGCCAGATACAGATAGATCGCTTATTTTTACTATTGACGATCGGTCTTCTGGCTTTGAGCTTTTAGAATTGTACCTGTGCAGCCTCCGTCCCTCTGACATTTTAAGATAGGGCATGGCTGAATGACGTACTGATACAGAGGCGAGTCTTATTCATTTAAAAGACCGGGTGGATACCCGGCACGGAGACACTCTTGAAAAAGGCGCCATAGAGCGCTGAAACGCGCGTCGAGATAGATGTTCTTTTATTAGGTTATGTCTTTTTTTGCAACCCAGTTACCTCTTGCTGGTCCGGGGATGACTTTATGCTAGTAGTTTGTAGATTTAGCCAGCTCATTTAGTAGCAGTTTTGGAGACCCCCTTTTTCTCCCCAATAGCTTCCTAGATAGGATTGTTTTCACTTAGCTTATTTAAAGAGCCGAATTGTATATATTATTTACTCCTTTCTAGGATCGAAATAGGTAGCTTTATTACTATGATTCTTTGACCCAGGCACCTCTTTTTGGAAACATTTTGATAGTGTCAGCAGTTTAATTGCTACATTTAAGATTGTTAC